TTGATCAAGCAGAAGAAAGGATCTCAGAGGTCGAAGACCAACTCAAGGAAATAAACAAGAAGACAAGATTAGAGAAAAAAAGGATAAAAAGGAACGAGCAAAGTCTCCAAGAAATATGGGACTATGTGAAAAGACCTAATCTACGCTTGATAGGTGTATCTGAATGTGACGAAGAGAATGAATCCAAGCTGGAAAATACGTTTCAGGATATTATTCAGGAAAATTTTCCCAACCTAGTAAGGCAGGATAATATTCAACTCCAGGTAATACAGAGAACACCACAAAGTTATTCCTCAAGAAGAGCAACCCCAAGGCACATAATCATCAGATTCACCAGGGTTGAAATGAAGGAGAAAATACTAAGGGCAGCCAGAGAGAAAGGTCAGGTTACCCATAAAGGGAAGCCTATCAGACTTAACAGCAGATCTCTCAGCTGAAACCCTACAAGCCGGAAGAGAGTGGGGACCAATATTCAACATCCTTAAAGAAAAGACCTTTCAACCAAGAATTTCACATCCAGCCAAACTAAGCTTCATAAGTGAAGGAAAAATAAAGTTTTTTGTGAACAAGCAAGCACTCAGACATTTCAACACCACCAGGCCTGCTTTACAAGAGCTTCTGAAAGAACCACTACACATAGAAAGGAACAAACAGTATCGGCCTTTCTAAAAAATACCGAAAAGTAAAGAGCATCAATATAATGAAGAATTTACATCAACTAATGAGCAAAATAGCCAGCTAATATTAAATGGCAGTATTAAACTCACATATGTCATTATTAATTCTAAATTTAAATTGATTAAATCTCCCAATCCAAAGACAGACAGGAAATTTGGATAAAAAACTAAAACCCATCGGTATGCTGCATTCAGACCCATCTCACATTCAAGGATACACAAAGACTCAAAACAAGGGACGGAGAAAGATTTACCAACCAACCAGAGAGCAAAAATAAATAAATAAAAAGCAGAAGTTACAATTTTTGCCTCTGATAAAATAGTCGTTAAAGCAACAAAGATCAAAAGAAGCAAAGAAGGACATTATAATAATGATAAAAGGATCAATGCAACAACAAGAAGAGCTAAAGATCCTAAATATATACGCACCCAATACAGGAATACCCAGACATACAAGACAATAAAGAGACTTAGACTCCCACACAATAATAGTGGGAGACTTCAACATTAATATTAGATCAATGAGACAGAAAATCAACAACGATATCCAGGACTTGAACTCAGATCTGGAACAAGTAAATGTAATTAACATTTACAGAACTCTCCACTTTAAATACACAAAATATACACTCTTATCAGTATCACATGATATCAACTTAGAAGTTTAAACGAAATGTTGGTTGGCTCCTTGTTTGTTATTCTCTTCCCTCATTTTCTTTCATGTCTCCATTATTAAGGACAATTACAGGCATACCCATATTTAGACTGCATTCTAGCCTGGGCAATAAAGCAATACCCCCATTCTCTCTCCCTCTTCCTCTTCTTTATTCTTTTTCTTATTATTTTTTTCTTTCTCTTAAAAAAAAAAAAAGAAAGAAAGAAAGAAAAAAACGTGCCAACTAGCTGCTGATAAACACACTGTTTATAATTTCAAGAAGCTAGAGAGAACCAAATTACCCATCGACAGGAGTAAACGTATATACCATGATATACTTTAAAAGGAAGGCATAGGCTGGGCGCCGTTGCTGACGCCTGTAATCCCAGCACTTTGGGAGGCCGAGGCAGGCGGATCACGAGGTCACGAGTTCCAGAGCAGCCTGGCCAATATGGGGAAACCCTGTCTCTACTAAAAATATAAAAATTAGCCAGGCGAGGTGGCAAGCGCCTGTGGTGTCAGCTACTCGTGAGGCTGAGGCAGAAGAATGGCTTGAACCTGGGAGGCAGAGGTTGCAGTGAGCCGAAATCGCACGACTGCACTCCAGCCTGGGCCACAGAGCGAGGCTCCGTCTAAAAAAAAAAAGTGTAATTTGTGGTTGTTTAAATGTAAATATATTAACCATATATTGTTAAATGAGAAAGGTTGGTTACAGAGCTGTATGTAAAGTGTGACTGCAATTTTGAAGCCATTATGCACACATATGGAACATATGAATATATACGGAAAGTAAATTTTGACTGGTTGCATGGCTGGTAGAATTATGATTTTTGTTCTTCGAGCTTTTCTGTACTTTTCACCTCTCCACTCCACTCCCCAAATGTGGTGGAAGGGACGAGGAGAATTCGTTTAGTATGCATACAAAACAACGTAGTTAATACACGAAAATAAAGTTAAAAATCAGAAGTGTTGAGGCTATCGATGTTTCATATAAAAACGTATTTCCAGTGACCACAGCCAAAGACATGCAGCACTGGTACAAACGCCGAGTCTCACACATCTACACCCACAAGCACAGCCTACGTTGCATCCAGAGTTTTTCATTCATTCAAGATCCCACTGTCCCGTACGTTTGCATGCAGGTTCATACTGAAAGGTTAAAAGGCGAAATCCGCTTACGGACAGGATCCCGGGGCCACACTCAGCCAGACAAATATCTGCCAAATGACAGTCACTTCACGCCAGACACTTACAGTCCCTCGCACGCCACTCCCACGGCCTCAGGGAGCAGCCACAGGCACAGGCGTCGCCCTGCCCCGCGTCCTCTTCTAAAGAATTCGGGCGCTGGGTCCGCGGGCCCCCACTCCCACCAAGCACAGAGAGTCCGGCGCTCAGAGTTAGCGGTTTCCCGAGGACTCACCACAGAGCCCGCGGACACAGGCCCCGACTCCACACATAATGCTGCCCAAGTGGCACAGGCGACGCGGGCTGGGACGAGGCGCCACTGAGGACGGCGCTGGCGATGCCTGAGAGCGCCACAAGCCTCGGTCCGTTAGACCAGGGGCGACGCTTCCCAGAGGCCCCCGCGGCTCACCCGGGCGGGACCTGTTTCCCTGTTTGCGCGTCCCGAGAGGCCGACCGCGGCGTTTCAGGGCTCACACCTGTGCGCAAGGGCCTCAGCCTCGGGTTTTGCCGGAGCGGCCTCCCGCGAACCGGGCTCTGAGATTCAGAGCGCAACTGGGAACTCAGAAGAATCGAATCGTTCCGCTGCTTCCTGCTCCGGACTACATTTCCCAAAGGCCTTCGCGGCCCTACCTTTTTTTTTTTTTTTCCTTTCCTCCCTGCAAAAAGGCACTTCCTTCTTACTGTCGGCTGGAGCTGCAGGTTTGCGGGATCCGTGAAGGAATCCCGGCTCAGCCTGTTTAGTTCCGTGTGTTCGGGTCTCTACCTGAGACTGGAATACAGCGGGGTGAAGGTGGTGAGAGTAAAAGGCTAGGTCAGCTGGAGTGAAGGTGGTGAGAGTGAAGGCTAGGTCAGCTGGAACCTTAAGGTCCTGGCAGCGGCTACAACAGGGAGGAATGACTGTGTGTGTGAAACTTCGGCCATGGAATTTGGAGTTTGGAGTTTCTGGGGCGAGAAACACTGAGGTCCAGTGACATCTGAGGTCGTGCGAATGTGCAAACTTTTGTGTGACCACGGTCGCGTTTTTTTTTTTTTTTTTTTTTGAGACGGAGTTTCACTCTTGTTACCCAGGCTGGAGTGCAATGGCGCGATCTCGGCTCACCGCAACCTCCGCCTCCTGGGTTCAAGCAATTCTCCTGCCTCAGCCTCTTGAGTAGCTGGGATTACAGGCACGTGCCACCATGCCCAGCTAATTTTTTATATCTTTAGTAGAGACGGGGTTTCACCATGTTGACCAGGATGGTCTCGATCTCTTGACCTCGTGATCCACCCGCCTCGGCCTCCCAAAGTGCTGTGATTACAGGCTTGAGCCACCGCGCCCGGCCCACGGTCGCATTTTATGTTCTCGTGACTGATTCTGACCTTGCAATTTTGTCAGAGACAGTGTGCGTGTATATTCGTTCTTTCTGGACTTGTCGATTGTGACTATGACAGTGTTATTGGAGTAAATGACCTGGGATCGTGAGTGAAGAGTAGTATGGCCAGACCGCCTGGATTCTAAACAGACTTGGTCTTACTAGCTGTGTCATCTTACACTAGCTAGTTAACTGCTCTATGCCTTTAATCTTTTTTTTTTTCTTGGCAGAGCCTCCCTTTGTTCCCAGACTGGAGTGCAGCGGCGCGATCCTTACTCACTGTAGCCTCGAACTCCCGAGCTCAAGCGATTCTCTGCCTCAAGCCTTCCGAGTAACTGGGACTACAAACACGGAACACTCGGCCTGGCTGATTTTTTTGTTAGTAAAGATGAGGTCTCGCTATGTTGCCCAAGCTGGTCTCGAACTCCTGAGCAAGTTATCCTCCCGCCTGGGCCTCACAAAGTGCTGGGCTTACAGGCACGAGCCGCACGGAGCTGGTCTTAATACCTTTAATAAAAAGATAAGACGCTGGACGCGGCGGCTCACGCCGGTGATCCCAGCACTTGGGGAGGCTGAGGTCGGTGGATCATCCGAGGTCAGGAGTTCCTTTATTTAATTTTTTTTTTGGAGACAGAGTCTTGCTCTGTCGCCTAGGCTAGAGTACACTGGCGCTATCTCCGCTCACTGAAACCTCCCCCTCCGGTTCAAGCAATTCTGCCTCAGCCTCCTGAATAGCTGGGACTACAGGCGCGTGCCACCACGCCCGGCTAATTTTTTTGTATTTTTAGTAGAGACGGGGTTTCACTATATTGGCCAGGCTGGTCTCCAACTCCTGACCTCAAGTGATCCTCCCGCCTCGGTCTCCCAAAGTGCTAGGATTACAGGCGTGAACCACCGCGCCCAGCCCAAGGGTAGCGAGCTGGGAGACTGGCAGGAACGTATTGCGCTTGCGCAGCATACCTCCTGGCCCCCACCAACTTTTTTCGGGTATCCAGCACAATTCTAGGAATTCGCCTCCCACCCACTTTGTGTAGACGCGCCAGTAGCGCGTTCCCACGCACAAACCTTTTCCCGGAGGCCAACCCGCTGTTTTCAACTCCCCGCCCTGGTTGCTAAGGGAGGCGCGCGGAGCGCCGGTGCCTGCGCACTTCCATACCAGTCCGTGTAGTGTGACGCTGGGCCCCGTCCCTGTAGCCAAGCCAGGCTCGGAGCTGCAGAGAATCTGGAATTTTGGGCTCCAGGCTGGAAGGCCGGGGAGAGGCCAGCGTGGGAGGACCTACTGGGAAGTGGGCGACATCACGAACCCCGCGCGGAGCTGCCCAGCTGCTGCCAGATCCTGCGGCCCTGCGGCCTTTTCTACTGCGGACTACGTTTCCCAGCGGCCCCCGCGAGAGCTGGGCCGGCTGCCCCTTTGTGTCCTCCGGCAGCGGAGGCAGCTGAGGCGCTTCTTTCTGGGCCCGCGGGTGCTGGGTTCCCTCCAACTCAGGGTAGGGGTGAGAGCAGAGTGGAGATTCCCCTTGCCTTCGGGGCGGGAATGGGATCTTCTCGCAGTTCAGTTCTGCAGGTAGGGAGTAGGCTGAAGAGTGGCTTGTGGGTCTCTGGAAGTTCGTTCCAGGCCCTCTGTGTGACTCCGGTGCGAGCGGAGGTTGCTACTGTTCAGTGCGAGGCTGTCACCGCTCGTGCCTGTCCGCGTCCTGTGTGACTGGGTGCGAGGGAGTCAATGGCACCGCGGAGTGTGAGGCTGAGTTAGGGCGGGAGCGGGCGAGTGTTCGCTGACCCCCGTTGGGCCGATATCCGCAGCCTCTTTGTGACTGGATTGTGATTGTCACTTGTGATAGATACCCTGGTGTCTGAGCCTTGCCGGTATGGGAAAGGGTGCCCTTGTGAGGCAGCCCATACCCATGGCCTCTGATTGTGGCGTGGGTAAGACGATGGCTGGCATTGTAGTTTTTCACACTCTGGGTATGTCAGGGAATGCGTGAGAGACCGTGTGCCACCGAGAGGCTTTTAAAGCCAGCCAAGTCATATCAGTGTGCCACCAAGTTTCAGAATCACTGATCTTATTGGAGAGGATTGTGGGGTCAGGTAACTCTTTTATTTGACCTTGGTGCTCTTATTTATTAGTTCTGTGTTTATGTAAAAGCTTACATTCCTCTAAGACTGTATTTGTAAAACCTAGAACATTAACAACAGTTAAGCTGAGGAATTAAAAAATGATTTAGGCAGCCAGGTGCGGTGGCTCATGCCTGTAATCCCAACACTTGGGAGGCGCAGTCGGGAGGATCACTTGAGGTCGGGAGTTCAAGACCAGCTTGACCAACATGGAGAAACCTGTGTCTACTAAAAATACAAAAATTGGGCCGGGCGCGGTGGCTCAAGCCTGTAATCCCAGCACTTTGGGAGGCCAAGGCGGGTGGATCACGAGGTCACGAGACCATCCTGGTCAACATGGTGAAACCCCGTCTCTACTAAAAATACAAAAAATTAGCTGGGCATGGTGGCGCGTGCCTGTAATCCCAGCTACTCAGGAGGCTGAGGCAGGAGAATTGCCTGAACCCAGGAGGCGGAGGTTGCGGTGAGCCGAGATCGCGCCATTGCACTCCAGCCTGGGCAACGAGCGAAACTCCGCCTCAAAAAAAAAAAAAAAAAAAAAAAAAAATACAAAATTAGCTGAGCGTGGTGGCAAATGCCTGTAATCCCAGCTACTCGGGAGGCTGAGGCAGGAGAATCACTTGAACCCGGGAGGCGGAGGTTGTGGTGAGCCGAGGTCAGGCCATTACACTCCAGCCTGGGCAAGAAGAGGGAAACTGTGTCTCCAAACAAACAAACAAAAAATTTAGGCATGAGTTAAATTGTGTGCAAACAAATTCCAAGGTCTCCATGATGCTCTCTCTATTGGAGGGAAGGTTGCAAGAAGAGGAAAGAAGCCTAAAAAGTCTAGACTGGTGACTCTGGATGCTGCAAGAAAAGCCTAGTTTCTCATGTTCTTTTCCCCATCTCAGTCATCTGAGGCCACTGCTATTCCCCAAGAGAAGAGCCAGGAGGAAGGAAGAATGGCTGTTGGGCTTCTTAAAGCCATGTACCAGGTGCGTTGGTGTTTTCTTTTTTTCCCTGAATACCTGTCTGCTTTCAGAACAAGCAGATATTAATTTTCCTTCTGCTGAAACGTTTCTGGGTAACCAGTCATGTCACTTATCAACACTCTCCATTGGATTTCTCTCATTCAAGATAAATGCTTAAATCCCTGTCTTGACCTTCAGGGCCCTGCATAATCTGGTCCCTGACTATCCCTGTGACCCCGTCTTTAACTCAGTAACTCAGTTCCTGCAACACCAGCTTCCTTGTAATGTTGTGAGTACATTCTTAATGCATGGCCTCACACTTGCTATTCTCTCTGCCTGGGATACTGCCCTCAGATACGGATACAGACCAACTTCCTCACTGTAGCCTCTAAGCAAACATCATTCATTCAGATTTTTAGTGAGCACCCATTACCACTGGGTGTCACAGGGCTTAGTTTCTCATCCTGTTCTCTATCTACACTTACTACCTTGGTAATCTCATCCTGTCTCATAGCTTCAAATGCCATGTACATTATGCCAACAACTACCAAATTATATACAGCCATCTCTTGAACTCTAGACTGTATATCTGACTGCCTACTAAACATCTTCATTTGGTTGCATAAGAGATACCTCAAATGCAAACATTTTACAAACGGAGTGCAATGAGGCATTGGTGGTTTTGGAGCATGAGTGACATGAACTGATTTTCATTTTAGTAGGATTACTCTGGCTGCTACTGAGAAAAAACTGAATAGGACAAAGATAGAATTAGAGAACTCAACTAGGAAACTCTTACATACTTCCCTGGCTCCATTGCTTAAGCTAAACATCTTCCATCAGGAAATTCTGTTGGTTCTAACTTCAAAATATATCCCGAATCAGACTACTTTTTTTTTTTTTTTTTTTTTTTTTTTTGAGACAGAGTCTCGCTCTATTGCCAGGCTGCAGTGCAGTGATGCAATCTTGGCTAGCTGCAACCTCTAGCTCCTGGGTTCAAGCGATTCTCCCGCCTCAGCCTCCCGAGTAGCTGGGACTACAGGCATGCGCCACCACGCCCAGCTAATTTTTGTATTTTTAGTAGCAGCAGGGTTTCACCATGTTGGCTAGGCTGGCCTCAATCTCTTGATCTCATGATCCACCTGCCTTAACCTCCCAAAGTGCTGGGATTACAGGTGTGAGACACTGCACCTGGCCCAGACTACTTTTTACTATCACCACTGCTTCCGTTATGTTCTGAACCATCGACTCTCAGCTGTGTTTCTGTGGTACTCTCCTAACTTGTCTCTCTACACCCACTCTTGTTCTCCTTTAGTCTGTTCTCAGTGGAGCAGCCAAACCGATCCTGTTAACACCTAAATCATATGGTGTCATTCTTTATAGGCAGGGGGTGGGTGGAAATAACAGGGAGCATAGACAACTCTTAAAAAGTAGCTGTAAGAGAAGGAGAGAAATGGGTGGTAACTGAAGGAGAAAGTCTAATTGACAAGGTTTTAGGACAATGGATATATGTTGGCAGGCTGAAGTTAAAGATTCAGTAGAAAGGGAAATTTGAAGATGAATACAGAAAAAGGAATTGCTGGGACAATGTGCTTAGGTAGGTGAGAGGAGCTGAGTGTTTGGTCTTTTCTAGAAAAGTGGGTTGTTCATTTACAGGAGAAGGGCATGTTAGGGTGTATGAGCACAGGTGCGGGTGGATGTGTAGATGGAGCGGGAGTTTGTGGAGATTCTCTTTCAGTGGGTTTTGTTTTCTCAGTGAGAGAAAAAGCAAGATTGTCCACTGAGAGTGAGCAAGGGGAAGAAGGTCTTGAAGGTGTGAAGAGAGAGGGGACAGTATCAAACGGTCATTTAGCAAAAGGCTGAACGGACTAGGGAAATGTATCATGCAGCATTTCGGCCCACATGAGGTTAAGTGATCATGAATTTAAAGTGAGCCTAATTAGTATGGTTGGTATAATTTTCTCCTGCAGAGTTCAGCTATGCAGAGTATGGGCACAGAGTGAGCAGAAAGATGGCTGCAGTTTAACCAAGTGAGTACCTTAAGTGAGAGAGGGAAGGCAAAGGCATAAGCAGGGAGTGATTATAACAGATGATTGTGCTGGGAAGTGAGAGTACTCGGGGATGAGGAACAGTGAAAAAGTGGTAAAAAGTGGTAAGATCAATGAGTTGTACTTCTTCAGAATTTGACTTCTGGTGGAGTCAGGTAACCATCCGGTTTGAGGTATCATAGGGCAAGAGTTGAGAACCAGGAGATAGAGGCTGGGCGTGGTGGCTGACGCCTGTAATCCTAGCAAATTGGGAGGCCGAGGTGGACAGATTGCCCGAGGTCAGGAGTTTGAGACCAGCCTGGCCAACATGGTAAAACCCCGTCTCTACCCAAAATACAAAAAAAAAAAAAAAAAAATTAGTCCAGTGTGGCAGTGGGCACCTATAATCCCAGCTACTTGGGAGGCTGAGGCAGAATTGCTTGAACCTGGGAGGCTGAGGTTGCAGTGAGCCAAGATCACACCATTGCACTTCAGCCTGGGCAACTAGAGCAAGACTTCGTCTCAAAAAGAAGAGATATAGGTGATAGAAGTCAGAGTGGGATAATTGAGGTTATGAAGGGTTTGGTACTGACTGGTAATGACAAGATCTGTGTCATGACCATGGAAGTGAATGACTGTAGAAGTGCGGAGGATAAGGCTACTAGAGGAGAGAGGGGTCAGAGAACTGAGAGGCCAGATTGTGGGAAGTAGTATTTATGTAGATATTGAAGAGACCGAAGAATGATAGGAATGACATTAAAGAGAGTGACAGTGAGCCAGGTGTTGAAGAATTTAAGGAATGACAGAGAATTGGTATCTATCAGGAATTGGTAGATAGCTATCACAAGGAGGGATTGTGATTGACATATTCTAATTTCTTGATGTTGAAAATTAGATGTCTTTTAGGGAGGAGAAAATGGCCTGGAAACCAGAGCAAAGAGGTGGCCTGCCTCACCTTCAGGTGCTGTGGCATTAGGAATGTGGGAAATAAAACAATCATCAGTGACAGGGCGTGAGGGGAAGTCATCCTCTCAGCTGGAGACCATATTTCTTTAAGGGCAAAAAGAGAACATGAAAAAGTGGAAAACTGTGGTTTTGCTTCAGACTGGTTTGATGATAATTGTGAGTAGATTTTGAAACCAAGTATTATTAGGGGTCAAATATTTTAAGAATAGAATTTCCCAGCACTTTGGGAGGCTGAGGCGGGTGGATCACGAGGTCGAGAGATCGAGACCATCCTGGTCAACATGGCGAAACCCCGTCTCTACTAAAAATACAAAACATTAGCTGGGCATGGTGGTGTGTGCCTGTAATCCCAGCTACCCAGGAGGCTGAGGCAGGAGAATTGCTTGAACCCAGGAGGCGGAGGTTGCGGTGAGCCGAGATCGTGCCATTGCACTCCAGCCTGGGTAACAAGAGTGAAACTCCGTCTCAAAAAAAAAAAAAAAAAGAATAGAATTTAAGCTCCTGTGTTGACATTGAAATTATTTGTTGACTATAAAGAATCAGTGGAATATGTGTGTTATATATAAATATTTATAAATTTATTATATGTATTTATATAAGCTAAGGACACTATTTTAGGAAGTATGTATATCATATGAACCCTACTGTTAGCAGTAGCAGAGAGGGAGAGATTTACCTACTTTATATAATTAAGTTAGAAAAAAGGTAATGAGTTGAACTTGAAGAATTTTGCTTCTGTAGAGATAGTTCTTTCTTTTTGTTTTGTTTTGTTTTTGAGACAAGGTCTTGCTGTGTTGCCCAGGCTGGAGTGCAGTGGCACAATCTCAGCTCACTGCAACCTCCGCCTCCCCGATTCAAGCAATTCTCCTGCCTCAGCTTCTGAAATACCTGGGATTATAGGGTTATAGGTATGTGCCAGCAGGCCCAGCTAATTTTTGTATTTTTTAGTAGAGACTGGGTTTTACCATGTTGGCCAGGCTGGTCTGGAACTCCTTACCTTAAGTGATAAGCCTGCCTCAGCTTCCCAAGTGCTGGGATAATAGGTGTGAGCCACCCCACCCAGCCCAGAGACAGTTTCTTTAACAAAATTGTGTCAAATGTAAAAAGTTACATTGACAGGTTCACATCTTTTAATTTTGTAAAAAATCAAATTAATACTTATATAATGTATGTTTGTTTCATCAGCAAGTGGTCACTTTATAGAAACCTGGAATCCAATGGCATGACAGCAGCTTTTTTTCAGATGGAGTCTCGCACTGTCACCCAGGTTGGAGTATAGTGGCATAATCTTGGCTCACTGCAACCTCTGTCTCCTGGGTTCAAGCAGTTCTCCTGCCTCAGCCTTCCGAGTAGCTGGGACTACAGGCATGCACCACCACAGCCAGCTAATTTTTGTATTTTTAGTAGAGACAGGGTTTCACCATATTGGCCAGGCTGGTCTCAAACTCCTGACCTCAGATAATCCAACCACCTTGGCCTCCCAAAGTGCTGGGATTATAGGCATGAGCCACCACGCCCAGCCAACAGTCAAGTTTTTCAGAACTTTCTCTAACCCCAGTAGGCAGCAGCAATATTATGAGTAGAACACCTATTTCTTTACACAAAATTTTGAGAATTCTGGATTAGAGTATTTGAATTTTAATGGAATTGATGCTCTGCTCTGCTTGGTCTAGCACAGTTTTCAGAGATATAGCGAATACTTTCTGGGATCATTTTTTTTTTTTTTTTTTGAGACGGAGTTTCGCTCTTGTTACCCTGGCTGGAGTGCAATGGCGCGATCTCGGCTCACCGCAATCTCCGCCTCCTGGGTTCAGGCAATTCTCCTGCCTCAGCCTCCTGAGTAGCTGGGATTACAGGCACGTGCCACCATGCCCAGCTAATTTTTGTATTTTTTTTAGTAGAGATGGGGTTTCACCATGTTGACCAGGATGGTCTCGATCTTTTGACCTCGTGATCCACCCGCCTCGGCCTCCCAAAGTGCTGGGATTACAGGCTTGAGCCACCGCGCCTGGCCCTTTCTAGCTTCTTGAAATTTTCTTCAAACCACTCATTGATTAATTCAACTTAGTCAATATTTGAATGCCTCACATGTGCCAGATTCTATTCTGTACCTGGGAATAAAGCAGCAACCAAAGCCAAAACATACTCTGCCCTCATGGAGCTGAAATTTTATAAAGTTGAGGAGGGTTAAGAACAGGCCATGAATAAAATAATTAATTGCTGTGGAGAAAAATAAAGCAGGGTTAGGGAATAGGGAATTGGGGTAGGAATACTGCTATTTTATACTGGAATAATCTGAGGCATACAAAGGGTCTGAATACAAATATGATAACATGGTTATATATTTGAGGATGTAATACCAGAGAGAGCCCAGTGTGCCCAGGGCAGAGTAAATGAGGTGAATATGGTGCTTTCTTTTGTTTCATGTCAGGAGTTGGTGACCTTCAGAGATGTAGCTGTAGACTTCTCCCAAGAGGAGTGGGATTGTCTGGATCCTTCTCAAAGACATCTGTATAGTAATGTGATGCTGGAGAACTACAGGATCTTGGTATCACTGGGTAAGGATATCTTCTTGCAAAATTGAGCTTCTGCTCAAAAGGGGCTCTTTGCTACCACTATTGTGAGTTTTTGGGTAACATCTGCAAAGTTTGGCTGAATGTCTGCTGCCTGTGCCAAACAAGTGGCTTAGTGTTTGTGGATTTGGCAGTGAACGTATTCTTGGCTTATGCTGGGGAAGCTTCATCTTCCTTATCCTTCTAATGCATGTCCTTTTCCTGGATGATCAAAGGATTGAATGTGGGTTTGGAATATCCACTGCATTAATAAATTCTATTTTTTTCCATATATTGCAGGACTTTGCTTTTCCAAACCAAGTGTGATATTATTGTTGGAACAAGGAAAAGCACCCTGGATGGTGAAGAGAGAGCTGACAAAAGGCTTATGCTCAGGTTAGTGAAGAGGAAATAGGCAAAAATCTTTGCAAGTGACAGCTCTGCCTCACTCAAACATATCACCTCTTCATTTTTCAGGATTTCAAATTCTTCTCAAATGTTCTAGGTCTTCATAGAAATTCGGGGCCTTTTTTGGATGTTCTCCCACATTTGTTATTTTTAATTATCTGTCTTCTCTCACTTTGCTGACTCCTTTCTATTAAGTCCCATTTCCTCTCAGTTTCATAAGCCTCTTAGTCTTTAAAAAATATTTTCCTCAGCCAGGCACAGTGGCGCAGGTCTGTAATCCCAGCACTTTGGGAGGTTGAGGCAACTGGGTGGATAATCTGAGGTCAGGAGTTTGAGACCAGGCTGGCCAACATGATGAAACCCTGTCTCTACTAAAAATACAAAAAAAAAAAAAAATTAGCTGGGCGTGGTGGTGGGCACCTGTAATCCCAGCTACTTGGGAGGCTGAGGCAGGAGAATCCCTTGAACCTGGGAGGCAGAGGTTGTGGTGAGCCAAGATCGCACCACTCCAACAAAAATCTATGACTTTTTCTCAGTCACAGATTGACATTATTATTATTATTATTATTATTTTGAGATGGAGTCTTGCACTGTTGCCCAGGCTGGAGTGCAGTGGCGCGATCTCAGTTCACTGCAAACTTCGCCTCCTGGGTTCAAGCAATTCTCCTGACTCAGCCTCCCGAATAGCTAAGACTACAGGTGCTTGCCACCACACCTAGCTAATTGTTTATTTTTAGTAGAGACAGGGTTTCACCATGTTGGCCAGGCTGGTCTCGCACTCCTGACCTCAGGTGATTTGCCTGCCTCAGCCTCCCAAAGTGCTGGGATTACAGGCGTGAGCCACCATGCCCAGCCAGTTATTCTGTATTTTCTTTTTTTGTTGTTGTTTTTTTTTTTTTTTTTGAGACAGAGTTTCGCTCTTGTTACTCAGGCTGAAGTGCAATGGCACGATCTCGGCTCATTGCAACCTCCACCTCCTGGGTTCAGGCAATTCTCCTGCCTCAGCCTCCTGAGTAGCTGGGATTACAGGCACGTACCACCATGCCCAGCTAATTTTTTGTATTTTTTAGTAGAAACGGGGTTTCACCATGTTGACCAGGATGGTCTCGATCTCTTGACCTCGTGATCCACCCACCTCAGCCTCCCAAAGTGCTGGGATTACAGACTTGAGTCACCACGCCCGGCTTATTCTGTATTTTCAATGTGATGTATCTAGATGTAAATTTCAGCTGTTGGGATTTACTGGGATTTTTTTTTATCTGACCATTAATGGGCTCTGGGTAATTATCAGTGATTATTTCTTCACATATTGCCACTCTCCCTTTCTCTGTGTTTATTTTTCCTAAAACTCCAGTTAGATGTGCCTATGACCAAACTCACCAGGGATAAATTGATGCTCCCAGCTTCAGTTCTACCTTACTTACTTGAAAGTACCTTCTAGGGCCGGGCGCAGTGGCTCACACCTGTAATCCCAGCACTTTGGGAGGCCGAGGCAGGTGGATTACGCGGTCAAGAGATCGAGACCATCCTGGTCAATGTGGTGAAACCCCGTCTCTACTAAAAATACAAAAAATTAGCTGGGGCCGGGCGCTGTGGCTCAAGCCTCTAATCCCAGCACTTTGGGAGGCCGAGGCGGGTGGATCACAAGGTCAAGAGATCGAGACCATCTTGGTCAACATGGTGAAACCCCGTCTCTACTAAAAATACAAAAAAAAATAGCTGGGCATGGTGGTGCGTGCCTGTAATCCCAGCTACTCAGGAGGCTGAGGCAGGAGAATTGCCTGAACCCAGGAGGCGGAGGTTGCGGTGAGCCGAGATCGCACCATTGCACTCCAGCCTGGGTAACAAGAGCGAAACTCTGTCTCAAAGAAAAAAAAAAAAAAAAATTAGCTGGGCATGGTGGCACGTGCCTGTAATCCCAGCTACTCAGGAGGCTGAGGCAGGAGAATTGCCTGAACCCAGGAGGTGGAGGTGAGGTGAGATCACGCCATTGCACTCCAGCCTGGGTAACAAGAGCAAAACTCCGACTCAAAAAAAAAAAAAAGTACCTTCTAGAGTCTGCTTGACCTCAAAAAGTTTACCTTAATTTCTTGCTAGCTTGGTAATGTAGCTAAAAGAAAGGTTTTAATTTGTAAGCTTAAATTTTTAAAATTTAAAGTTTTAAAATCATAAGCTTTTTTTGTACCAGAAAGATTTGTCATTATACCTAGTCTGCTATATTGCTGGACTACTCTAGGTACCTCATATAAGTGGAATCATACAATATTTGTCCTTTTGTGACTGGTATTTCACTTATAATAATGTCCTCAAGTTACATACATATTATAGCATATGTCAGAATTTCCTCCTACGGATGAATAATCTATTGTACATTCCACATTTTGTTTATCAGTTGTCCATCAATGGACACTTCGACTGCTTATACCTTTTGTATATTGTGAATAATGGAGCTATGAATATGGGTTTTTAAGTATGTCTTTGAATCCCTGCTTTCAGTTATTTTAGGTGTATACTCAGAATTGGAATTGCTAGATCATATGTAATTTTATTTTTAATTTTTTGAGGAACTGTCATATTATTTTCATAGTGGCTACACTATTTTTATATTCTCATCAACAATGTCCAAATGTTTCACTTTTCTCCATATTCTCAACACTGATTTTCCTTTTTTTTAAATAGTAGCCATCCTAATGGGTGTGAGGTGATATCTTGTGGATTTGGTGTGTGTTTACCTAACGATTAGAATGTTGAACATCTTCTCATGTGCTTGTTGCCATTTGTATATCTTCTTTGGAGAAATGGCTATTCAAATCTATTGCCTATTTTTGAAATCTTTTTGTTGTTGCTGTTGGATTATATATTTGAATATTAATCCCTTATCAGATATGATTTGTAAATATTTTCTTCTATTCTGTGGGTTGTCTTTTTACTCTGCTACACTAAAGTTTTAAATTTTGATGTAGTCCAGGTATTTAGTTTTTCTTTTGTTGCCTGTACTTTTGGTGTTATAACCAAGAATGCACTGCGAAATCTAGTATCATGAGGCTTTTCCCCTATGTTTGTTTCTAAGAGCTTTATATTCTTGGTTTTGATCCATTTTGAGTTAATTTTTATGTATGTTATAAGATTAAGAGTCTAACTTTATTGGCCAGGTGCAGTGGCTCACGCCTGTAAATCCCAGCACTTTAGGAGGCTCAGGCGGGTGGATCCTGAGGTCAGGAGATTGAGACCATCCTGGCCAACATGGTGAAACCTTGTCTCTATTAAAAATACAAAAATTAGCTGGGTGTGGTGGCGGGCACCTGTAATCCCAGCTACTCAGGAATAATGTTGGCCTCATTAAATGAGTTTGGATGTCTTCTCTTCAATTTAGAGTTTGAAGAAGATTAACGTTCATTCTTTTTTAAATGTTTGATAGAATTTAACAGTTAAGCCATCTGATCCTGGGCTTTTCTTTGTTCGGAACTTTTTGATGACTGATACAGTCTTCTTACTGTAGCTCTCTTCAAGTTTTCTGTTTCTTTATTATTCATTCTTCATAGGTGTCTGTTTCCAGGAATTTGTCCATTCTATCCCAGACATCCAATTTGCTGGCATACAGTTGTTCATAGTACTCTCTTGTAATCCTTTGTAGTTTCTGTAAAATTAGTAGGAATGTTAGCTTCCTTAATTTCTGACTTGCTTGAGTCTTTTTTTTCTTTGTCAATCTACCTAACGTTTAGGACTTTATTTTTTTTCAAAGCATAAACTCTTGGTTTTATTGATTTTCTCTTGTTATTCTATTCTCTATTTTGTTTATCGCAGCTTGAATATTTATTATTTTTTTCTTTTGCTATCTTTGGATTTAACTTGCTTTTCTTTTTCTAGTTTGTTAAAATGTAAAGTTATGTTGTTGATTTGAAACATTTTTTAATGTATTTACAGTCATAAAATCCCTTTTGGCACTGTTTTCACTATATTCCATAAATTTTATATGTTGTGCTTTGGTTTTCATTTGTCATAAGTTATTTTCTAATTTTCCTTATAATTTCTTCTTTGCTCCTTGGTTGTGTAAGAGTGTGTTGTTTAATTTTCACATATTTGTAGATTTATCATTCCCCCTTCTGCCATTGGTTTCTAGATTTATTTATTTAATTAATTGTAATCAGATAAGATAGTTGTATGATTTTAATCTTTTTCATCTTTACGTTTGTTTTTTGGCCTAACATATGGTTTATACTAGAGGCATTTTTATTTTTTAGTGATCTTCAGGATTTTTTTAAAAAAGACATTCTTGCAAGGAGTTTGTCAGACTCTAAAATCTGAGAGGATAGTGCTCTACAAATCTGCAGTCACTTCAGATGCCAGCCACAAGTTTGGAGGTCCCCAGGGAACCCTTCACTTCAGCCCACTCTCAGGTTTGGTAATTCACTAGAATAATTCCCAGAACTCAGGAAGGAGCTATATTAAAATGACAGTTTTATTACAGCAAAAGAATACAAATCGGAACCAGCCAGGAGAGATGCCAAGGGCAAGACCTGGAGGGTTGGAAATGCAAAGCTTCTGTTATTCTGAGGGGCTTTCCATTCATCTCAATAGTTAAAAAATTATTAAATATTTAAAGAAATATTGCCATACAAAGAAGTTCTCCTGAACTTCATTGTCCAGAGTTTTTATTGGAATTTTATTATATAGGAATGATCGATTTAATCATTAACTATATATGTCTTAGTCTCCAACACTCCTTCCTGTCCCAGAGGTTAATTTAATATCAAGGTGGCTTAGGGGCTCAACCCTCTAATTACATGATTGATCTTTCTGGCTTGGCTAGCCTCCATTCTGAGTCATATTATTAGCACAAAATATCTAGGGACCTACCATGACGCACCTCATTAGTACAAACTATCAGATGTGGCCTGCAGGGCCTACCATGAATTACAAAGATCCTCTTTGGCACTGTTTTCCTACCACTCAGGGCTTAGGTTAATTCCTGAGAACCAGAAATAAAGGCCAGCCAGATTCTTTATTACATGATTCTGGAAAAGGTCATTATGAGGCTTTGATTGTAATTGAATAGAAATAAGAGATGAATTTAGTGAACATCAATGGATGTACATTGGTGAATCTTCATGTAAAAAAACAAGGTGTGCATCTTCTCCCATTATTCATACTTTTTGTGAGGAGTTAGAGGGAAGTTCATCATTTGACTTTTAAAGATTTTGCTCATTTCTTGTTAATTTATTTCTAGGGTATTTTCCCTTGTGGTGGTGGTTGTTGTCATTGTTAAAGATATCTTTCTAATGTTAATTATTTTCTTTATGCTTGCTTCTTTTGCTTTTTACAATTGATTCAAAAATTGGAAAATAATATTCTTATTAGATAAAACTACAGAAGTATAAGTAATACAGTAATCCACCTCATAGTTCCTACATTCTTTATGTATCTTTCATTTATCTAATGATTTATTTGTGGTGGTTTGACAAGCTACTACATATAATTATTTTTAATGGTTACTATTATTTGTTATTAATTTTTTTCTTTTCTTTTTTCTTTTGAGACGATCTCGGCTCACTGCAACCTCCGCCTCCTGGGTTCAGGCAATTCTCCTGCCTCAGCCTCCCAAGTAGCTGGGATTACAGGCACGCGCCACCATGCCCAGCTAATTTTTTGTATTATTAGTAGAGACGGGGTTTCACCATGTTGACCAGGATGGTCTCGATCACTTGACCTCGTGATCCACCCGCCTCGGCCTCCCAAAGTGCTGGGATTACAGGCGTGAGCCACCGCGCCTGGCTCCTTTTTTCTTCTTTTTATCTACACTCATCCTCTTGGTAATTTAGTTTCTTTAAATCTACCTGCTGACAACTTCCAATTTCAAATCTCAAGCCCAGACCTCTCTCTTAAATTCCAGTGTCACATGTCTATCTGCCTACTCAGTGTCTCCATTTCAAAGTCTAACAAACAAGCTTAAATTTAATATTCTTAAAATTGAACTCCAGATCTTCCCTACCTTGCCACCCAAACCTGCTGTACTCATGGCCTTCCCCACTGTTATTGGTGGCTATTTTGTCCTTCCACTGCTCAGACCATAAACTCAGGAAGCATGCTTTTTCCATTCTTTTTATCTATTCTAGGTTCAGTTTGTTAGAATATTCTCTTGGATCAGTCTATAAACTACACCTAGGATCTAATCCCCTCACTGTTCTCGTCTGTTGGTATCTCCCTGGTCTGAATCAATGTTACCTATCATTTAGCTGGCCTAGTATAATAATAGTCTTCCTTGCTTTTCTCCTTGTTTTCCACCTTCCAGTGATTTCACGGAATAGCAACCAGATATTACGCCTCTACTGAGACCACTACAATGTGTCTCCATCTGTGTTAGGCTGTTTTTGCACTGCTTTAAAGAAATAACAATAACTGAGACTGGGTAATTTCTATGGAAAGAGGTTTAATTGGCTGTCAGTTCTGCAGGCTGTACAGGAAGCACAGTGGCATCTTCCTCTCAGGAAGTCTCAGGAAGCTTCCAATCATGGCAGAAGGTGAACGGAGAGCAGGCATATCACTTGGCAAAAGCCAGGAGCACATTAGAGAGACGGGAGGTGCCACATACTTTTAAAGGACCAGCTGGCATGAGAATTCACTCACTGTCATGACAGTATCAGTAGGATGGTGCTAAACTATTCATGAGGAATCCACCCCCATGATCCAGTCACTTCCCACCAGGCCCTACCTCCAACATTGGGGATTACATTTCAAGATGAGATTTGGATGGAACTACATTACCATCTGATATGGTTTGGCTCTGTGTCCTCATCCAAATCTCATCTTGAAGTGTAATCCCCATGAGTTGAGGAAGGGACCTGGTGGGAGGTGATTGGAAAATGGAGGCAGTTTTCCCCATGCTGTTCTCGTGATAGTGAAGGAATTCTCACAAGACTTGATGCTTTAAAAGTGGCAGTTTTCCCTGCTTTCTCTCTCTCTCTCTCCCTCTCTCTGTCTCTGTCTCTCTCTCTCTCTCCATCCCTCACTTGTTCCCTCCCCCCTCTCTCTCCTTCTTTCCAGCCACCTTATAAAGAAGATTCCTGCTTCCCCTTCACCTTCTGCCATGATTTTAAGTTTCCTGAGGCCTTCCCAGCCATGCAGAACTGTGAGTCAGTTAACCCTCTTTTGTTTATAAATTATCCAGTCTCAGGTAGTGTCTTTATGGCAATGTGAAAACAAACTGATATACTACCCATCTCAGAGTAAAAGACAAATTCCAGCCGGGCGCGGTGGCTCAAGCCTGTAATCCCAGCACTTTGGGAGGCCGAGGCGGGTGGATCACAAGGTCAAGAGATCGAGACCATCCCGGTCAACATGGTGAAACCCGTCTCTACTAAAAACACACAAAAAAATTACCTGGGCATGGTGGTGCGTGCCTGTAATCCCAGCTACTCAGGAGGCTGAGGCAGGAGAATTGCCTGAACCCAGGAAGCAGAGGTTGCAGTGAGCCGAGATTGTGCATTCCAGCCTGGGTAACAAGAGCAAAACTCTGTCCCAAAAAAAAAAAAAAAAAAAAAAAAGACAAATTCCTTAGAAGGCCTGTGAAGGTTAAATACTGTCATTACATTTCACTTCCTGACTTTATATTCTGCTACTCACTCTATAGACACACTGCCCTTCTTATTATTCCCTAAACGTAATAGACATGTTTCTACTTTTGAAGCCATTAAACCAGCTGCTTCTTCTTCCCTGAATGCTTTTTCCCCAGAAACTTGAATGACTGACTTCTTCACTTTCTTCAAATCTTAGCTTAAATGTGAACTTACTAATGATTCCTAGCTCTAATTTCATCAGTACTCCTGACATCCCCTACCCTGATTTTCTTTATCTAATGCACTTTAGTATCTTCTAACATAAAATAAAATTTAATTTCATCAGTACTCCTGACATCCCCTACCCTGATTTTCTTTATCTGATGTACTTTGGTATCTTCTAACATAAAATAAAATTTACTTATCACTTATTTTCTGTCTCTTTTAAGAAAATAACATCCCTGAAGGTAAGGATCTTTGTTTTTTGATATTAAAAGCATCAGAACAGAATTTGGCACAAGGTAAATATTTGTTCAATGAATGTTCTTGAATGAAGCAGCTATAAGAATGGAGACTGTAAGGCCGGCTGCCTCGCAGAGGGTTAAACAGATACATCCATCTCTATGTCATCACCCAAGCTCGTTATCTGGCCTCGCTGCATAGCGGCCTCGCTGCATAGCTTCCCCGCACCTGCCTCCACATACCAGACCCAAGCCCACATTCAGCACTAAATTATGCACCTCGCAGAGGGTTAAACAGATACATCCATCTCTATGTCATCACCCAAGCTCGTTATCTGGCCTCGCTGCATAGCGGCCTCGCTGCATAGCGGCCTCGCTGCATAGCTTCCCCGCACCTGCCTCCACATACCAGACCCAAGCCCACATTCAGCACTAAATTATGCATTCAACCTCCAGTCTGCTGTTGAAAAACCCTGCAGAAAAATTTTTTAAAGAAGCCCCATCAGACCCTGCCCGGTAGCAGTCTGCCCTGTACGCCCCCAGCAGGCCCACTTACCCAAGGTCCCGCCCGCCTACCCATAACAACTAGCTCCAGGCATTTCCTGCTTCTTAACAGCCAATAAAGATTGCCTTCACTTTGTTTCCCCAATAGCCAATCAAGGCCCACTTACCCAAGGTCCCACCTGCCTACCAATGGCAGCTAGTTCCAGGTATTTCCTGCTTCTTAACAGCCAATAAAATTGCCTTTGCTTTGTTTTCCCAATAGCCAATCAATTGCCTTCCCTCCCCAAAAAACCCCATGCCCTGAACAGCCGGCGTGATTTCTTTGGCTGCTTCCCGGACCACAGAACCTCACCCGGGAGCTGAATAAATGTGCTTCTCATTTTCTTATACTTGCCTCAGTTTCCTCATTTTACCTCGGCAATAAACCTTACAGAGACTATTTCAGTGTCTGTTTTCCTAATACAGGCATAACATTGTAACCCACTCTGACCACATCTCTAATTTCTTCCTGCTCCGAGATTTACTGATTTTTCTTTTATAATTCTAATCTTTCCTCCTTCGGTTTCCGTATGACCTGTTTTCAGTTTTTCTTGTAAAAGCCAATATTCTTGTGGGTTTTACGTGCCATTAAATTCACATTTTACTTTACAGATATACTTCCTCAAATGTACCTTCTGATAGTCAATAGAGGAGATATTTTTTCTTGTTATTACTTTTCAGGCTGGGAGCCTCTATGTGAGACTGAAGAATTAACCCCAAAGCAGGACTTTTATGAAGAACATCAATCTCAGCAGATAATAGAAACACTCACAAGGTACAACCTTGAGTACGCCAGTTTGAGAGAAGAGTGGAAATGTGAGGACTATTTTGAGAGGCAACCAGGGAAGCAGAAGGCATGTTTCAAGGAAGAGATAATCACTCATGAAGAAGCCCTTGTCGATGAAAGAAAACAAGAATATAAATCTTGGAGAAGTTTTCATCAGAACCCACTGCTTTGTGCACAAAAGATAATCCCCAAAGCAGAGAAAGTACATAAACATGATACACATAAGAGAAGCTTTAAAAAAAATTTAATGGGTATTAAGCCCAAGAGTGTCTGTGCAGAGAAGAAACTTTTGAAATGTAAAGACTGTGAAAAAGTCTTCAGCCAGAGTTCATCCCTTACTCTTCATCAAAGAATTCACACTGGAGAGAAACCCTATAAATGTATAGAGTGTGGAAAAGCCTTTAGCCAGAGATCAAATCTTGTTCAACATCAGAGGATACACACTGGAGAAAAACCCTATGAATGTAAGGAATGCAGGAAAGCCTTCAGTCAGAATGCACACCTAGTTCAACATCTGAGAGTTCATACTGGAGAAAAACCTTATGAATGTAAGGTATGTAGAAAAGCCTTCAGCCAGTTTGCCTACCTTGCTCAACATCAGAGAGTTCACACAGGAGAGAAACCCTATGAATGTATTGAATGTGGGAAAGCATTTAGCAACAGATCATCCATTGCTCAACACCAGAGAGTTCATACTGGAGAGAAACCCTATGAATGTAATGTGTGTGGGAAAGCATTTAGCCTTCGTGCATACCTTACTGTACATCAGAGAATACATACTGGAGAGAGACCCTATGAATGTAAGGAATGTGGGAAGGCCTTCAGCCAGAATTCACACCTTGCTCAACATCAGAGAATTCACACTGGAGAAAAACCTTATAAGTGTCAGGAATGTAGGAAAGCATTCAGCCAGATTGCCTACCTTGCTCAGCATCAAAGAGTTCATACTGGAGAGAAACCCTACGAATGTATAGAATGTGGGAAGGCTTTTAGCAATGACTCATCCCTTACTCAACATCAGCGAGTTCATACTGGAGAGAAACCTTATGAATGTACCGTTTGTGGAAAGGCTTTTAGTTACTGTGGATCCCTTGCCCAACATCAGAGAATTCATACCGGAGAGAGACCCTATGAATGTAAGGAATGCAAAAAAACCTTCAGGCAGCATGCACACCTTGCTCATCATCAGAGAATTCACATTGGGGAGTCACTGTCACCACCCAACCCAGTCAATCACCAAGTCCTATAGATCCTGTGTCCTAAATATTTCTAGAATTTATACACTCTTTTTTTATCTTTAATATTGTTACCTTGGTCTGATTTCATCTCACTTTGATTACTAATATAGCTTTCAAACAGGTCTTCCTGTATTTATTTTTTCTACCTTTCAATCCATTTCCCACAATGCACTCAAACTGATTTTTTTTTTCTTTTTAAGACAATGTCTTGCTTTGTTGCCCAGGCTGGAGTGCAGTGGCATGATCTCAGTTCACTCGAGCTTCTGTCTCCCAGCCTCTGCGTCCAGGGTTCGAGTAGCTGGGACTACAGACATGCACCACCATGCTTGGATAATTTTTGTATTTTTTAGTGGAGATGGGGTTTTGCCATGTTGGTCTCAGGCTGGTCTCGAACTCCTGATCTCTCTCTCTCTCTTTTTTTTTTTTTTTTTTCAGAGACAGAGTCCTGTTCTGTCACCCAGGCTGGAGTGCAATGGCATGCTCTTGGCTCACCACAACCTCCATCTCCTGGGTTCAAGTGATTCTCCTGCCTCAGCCTCCCAAGTAGCCGGGATTATAGGTGGGCACCACCACGCCTGGCTAATTTTTGTATTTTTAAGTAGAGACAGGGTTTCACCATGTTGGTCAGGCTGGTCTCAAACTGCTGACCTCATGATCTACCTGCCTCAGCCTCCCAAAGTGCTAGGATTACAGGCATGAGCCATCACGCCCTGCTTCAAACTCCTGATCTCAAGCAATTTGTCTGCCTTGGCCTCCCAAGGGGCTAGGATTACAGGCACAAGCCACCATGCACAACCTCCAATTGTTCTTTTTAAAGTACAAGAAAACACATTTACTATCTCCAGTTAAAACTTCTTTTTTTGTTGTTACTCTTCTTAGACTGACATTCACAGCCTTTAAAATTGTGAGGCTTTTTGTTATCTGGTTCGTACACACCATCAGCCTTATTTTATTCCAGTCTTATTCTTTGGGCACTAGGTACTTCCCAGGACTAAGAGCTTAGATTCTGGAAAATCACAGCTCTGCCACTACTATGACATTGTGTGACTGTAAGCAACTTGCTTATCTAAACCTCAGGGTTTTCCTTAATTCTTAAAATAGGAATAATAAAGGATACTGTATTGTAGAAATGTAAGTATTAAGTGAAATAGTGTCTGTTGTAGATTGATGCATATTAAATGAGAAATTTGCATGTAAAGTACTTCATATAATCTGTCAAATATAGCAGATATTCAGTAAATGGTAATAGCTAGCATATATTGAGTGCCCACCGCACATCAGGCACTGTCTTACATACTCTAGAAATGTTAAGTCATTTACTCCTCACAACCAAAACAAGATTCCTTATTGGACAAAGTAGAGCATTCCTGCAAAACACCAGTTTAGAATTTGGAAAATCTGAAAATTTTAGAACATAAAAGTCAGTCTTTGTTCTGTAGCTGAGTAGTTCATATAAACTCAGGTATTGGAACTATAACACTAATAGCCAGTTTTAGGAAGTTTCTAAAGATAATGAATTGGATAAGCCAATTAAAATAAGAAAAACAGAATTCACTGGCAAGAATGCAGAACCTATATTTAGATCAAGGAAGGAATAGAAATGGTGACAATTACCTAAAAAAATCAATAAACATAGAAATTCATGTGGTCCCTTTAAAAAGGCACCACATCCTGGCCAGGCATGGTGGCTCACACCTGTAATCCCAGCACTTTGGAAGATCCAGGTGAGCAGATCACAAGGTGAGTTCGAGACCAGCCTGGCTAATATGGTGAAACCCCATCTCTACTAAAAATACAAAAATTAGTTGGGCGTAGTGGCATATGCCTGTAATCCCAGCTACTGAGGAGGCTGAGGCAGGAGAATTGCTTGAACCTAGGAGGTGGAGGATGCAGTGAGCTGCGATTGTGCCACTGCACTCCAGCATGGATGACTGAAAGAGACTCTGCCTCGGGTGGGGGTGGGGGGGGGGTGGGAGGCACCACACCCAGGTATTTGTATGGGTAAATTCAGGTAATTTAAAGCATGTAAAGTGTTCTATACTATAGAAAATAATGTAAAGTTAAAAAAAAATTTTAATCCAGTGATTCCGAAATTGAAATCAACAGGGGATTAAGGGAAGAAAACAACAGACAGATATACATATATTAATGTAGGCCTTCATTCTGTTAATATTGAGTAATTACTATTTGTCAGACACTGTTTTAGGTATGAGGAAATGACAGTAAGCAATACAAAGGCCACATTCCCATGGAGTTAAATTCCAGAGGCGGAGACAGTTAAATTAATACTTAAATATAAAACAGTAGATTCTCTAAACCCAGAAAACTGAAGAACAACAAGAAAATAAGGAGCATTATACTGTATAGCCTAGACTGCAGAGACTGAAGATGAAGTTGGCAATTCTTCCTAATTAACAAATTCACTGCAATTCCAGCCAAAATGTTTCATTGTATTTTTTCCCCTTTAGCTTCACAAGTTTGTTCTGAAATTTTTCTATGAGGTATAAATTCTTAAGAACAGCAAGAAAATTATCGAATCTCTTTGTAGAAACTGCATATGACGACGTTTCAAACCAGTAGAGAAAGATCTGATTTGGAGGTATTAGGATAATTATCTTTTTTTTTTTTTTTTTTTTTTGAGACAGAGTTTCGCTCTTGTTACCCAGGCTGGAGTGCAATGGCGCAATCTCAGCTCACCGCAACCTCCGCCTCCTGGGTTCAGGCAATTCTCCTGCCTCAGCCTCCTGAGTAGCTGGGATTACAGGCACGCGCCACCATGCCCAGCTAATTTTTGGTATTTTTAGTAGAGACGGGGTTTCACTATGTTGACCAGGATGGTCTCGATCTCTTGACCTCGTGATCCACCCGCCTCAGCCTCCCAAAGTGCTGGGATTACAGGCTTGAGCCACCGTGCCCGGCACTAGGATAATTATATACCTCACCAGTAGTAAGGGAAATGCAAAATAAAATCACAGTGAACTATTTCAAAATCATCACATTAGCAAAAGCGTTAGAGTGCCAATTACTGGAAAGATGTGGAGCAATAGGAACACTCATACGGTGCTACTAGAAGTAGTTGTATTTAGCATACGTTGGTAATGTCTAGTAAAAGTGGAAGATGTGAATAATCTTTGACCCAGCAATTCCATGTTTAAACCTCTACATAGTCTCTCCTTGTGAGAATGAAAAGTTGAAAGCAATCTAACCATTAGGCTAAATACAAGATAGAATACAAGTTGAAATGAGTAACTAGAGCTATTTCTGTCAACATGGGTAAATCTCAAAAATAGCCTCAATGAAGTTGAACTACAGATATTTTGTAAACATAGTATACCATGTACAATTTGAAAACATGATAATTAGTGTTATGTATATTTCTGATGGCTAAATAGTATATAAAAAGAATCCGGCTGGGCGCGGTGGCTCAAGCCTGTAATCCCAGCACTTTGGGAGGCCGAGGCGGGTGGATCACAAGGTCGAGAGATTGAGACCAACCTGGTCAACATGGTGAAACCCCGTCTCTACGAAAAATACAAAAAATTAGCTGGGCATGGTGGCGCGTGCCTATAATCCCAGCTACTCAGGAGGCTGAGGCAGGAGAATTGCCTGAACCCAGGAGGCAGAGGTTGCGGTGAGCCGAGATCGCGCCATTGCACTCCAGCTTGGGTAACAAGAGCAAAACTCCGTCTCAAAAAAAAAAAAAAAAAAAAAGAATCCATAAAATAATCCTCAGATTCAGAACCATGGTGACCCACAGGGAGAAAGACAAATGAGAGTGGGGAAAGGATGCAAATGAAAATATCTTTAATTATTTCTTTCTTTTAAAAATAAGCAAATACTGTATAGCCAATTCTTATACTTTGATAAAACTGGTTGTGAGTCAGTGGTTACTCTCTGTATCTTTCTGTATATTTAAACTATTTCATAATGCAAAAATAAAGAACATTTAAAAGATGTTTGCTTCTGTCAGTTCTCTTCTTTTTTTCTTTTTTGAGATGGAGTCTCACTCTGTCCACCCAGGCTGTAGTGCAGTGGCATGATCTTGGCTCACTGCAACCTCCATCTCCTGGGTTCGAGCGATTCTCCTGCCTCAGCCTCCCAAATAGATGGGAATGCAAACACGTGCCACCTCACCCAGCTAATTTTTAGTAGAGACCACGTTTCACCATGTTGGCCAGGCTGGTCCTCCTAACCTCAGGTGATCTGCCTGCCTTGGCCTCTGAAAGTGCTGGGATTACAGGCATCAGCCATTGCACCCATACTATCAGTTATGTTCTTACAAGTCCTCAGGTGTGCCACTGGTGTTCCTGTATTCACTGCTTTCTTCAGAAAGAAGCTTACATATGGTCTATTTCCAGAGGCAACCATTTAACAATTTTAAGACTATCTTTCCATGTTTGACTGGTTTGAGAATGATGCTTTATGCTAATGGTTTTATAAGCCTAATTTTTCCATCATCATTCTTAACTGTTTTCAGCACCCCATTGTATATGCATCATGATTTGATAATTTCTCTTTGAATACTGTCTAAGTGTCCAGAATTTTTGTGGGCCAATTACTATCTTTTCTGAATTCAATTTCTCAGATGTTAAAGGGAGATAATTCTTTGTTTTAGAACTGCTACATGCATTTGTCAAAATACATGTGAAATTTACAGCAGTATTTAGTAAAAGTTATTATTATATAAAATATACCAGAGGGTGTAAGGAAACTTGGGAAGAGAAATGACTTGAGACCATTACAGTAGAAGCAGGCAGTGGAGACTAAAATTTACTTCAGATAGGCAGCATGCAGAAACAAAAATACACAGTAACTCTGGATTTTAAAATGTATGCCTAACAACTTAGTCACTGTGATTATAATCAATATCCAGCAGAATCTGTTGATAGCCTCACATTTTTAGTATATTTTTCTCATTTATAAGTCAATGGAAAAATAAGCAATTAAGAATATCAGGGAAATTGTCTACCACTGTTAAAGAGAGACCTCAGATATCCATACCTGAATGATGGAAAATATCAATAAGAAACAGGAGGGAGAGGGCTTGTCCACCACATTCCAACACAGTGAAGTGGAAGGTGAAGCAGGATATTGCCTCTTCCCTATTGCCTCATTGATATCC